TCTCCCCCACCCCCTCAGACCACCTTTAAAAAAAAAAAAACTTTTTGTGTATTTAGTACAGAGTCTACAGTGTCTCACTACACAGATAAGATTCGTAGCGCCACAGCCCGTCCCGTCCCAGCGTGAGCCCTGTGTCAAGCGCCCCGCTGTCGATGGCATCTGCCTAAACAGGCGCTTTAATCCGCTGAGGTATTTGGCCAGAGCTGAGCTATCTGGCCGGCCCTCAGAAAACCCAATTTAAAACAGCAAGACTGGTCAAATAGCTCAGCGGATTAAAGCGCCTGTTTAGGCAGACAGAAGCAGGGGCCGGGGCTCAATATCCAGGCCTGCCATGCTGACCCCGTCCCTGGGGCACGGGGGCGCTGAGACCTGACCCCAGGGTGCGCTGAGACGGCTATTGAGAGGGCTCAGGGTCGGAGAGATGGCTCAGTAGAATAAGCGCTTTGCTGGCAAGCACAAGGGTCTGAGTTCAATCCCCGGTTCAGGTAGCCCGTACGCCTGTAATCCCAGCATTTGGGAGGCTAAAGACAGGAGAATCGCTACAAATCCAATCTATGTAATGAGACCCTGTAGTCCCTGTACTAAACACATAAAAAATAAAATTAAGTCTTCTGCTCTCCAGTGCAAAATGTTTCTCCATTTTTTTTTTTTTTTTTTTTTTTTGTACTAGGGATTGAACTCAGAAGTTCTTGGCTGGCCTTGCCAGGCAAGCACTTATCCTACTAAGCTATCTCCCTGGCCCCTCCATTTTTAAAAATAATTCCTAACTGGGTGTGGTGGAAATAGATCTGTAATTTCTTTGAACAATATTTTATAGTTTTCAGAGTATAGGTTTGTTTGTATTTGTCATTAAATTTATTCTGAAGTAGTTTATTCTTTGTGCTGCTATTCTAAATGTAATTCTTGTCAGGTGTGGTGGCCTGAGCCTGTAATCCAAGTACTCAGGAGGCTGAGGCAGGTGAATTACCACAAGCCTGAGGCCAACTTGAACTACTTTTGAGACTCTGTCTCAAAAAAAAAAAAATAGTAGAGTTGCCCCAAGAGGTAGCATGGTTGCTGGTGTGGTCTTTGGCAGGTTCTGCCGTGGTGTACCGGGATCAGGGCTGGAAAGTGCAGAAGGTGATGGTGCAGCCCATCAACCTCATACTTGCAGAATGGATCCTGGATCCAGGTGTGGCTGTATGAGTAAGTGAATATGCGGCTAAAGGGCTGTATTTTTTTTTTTCTGAATTTAGTACAGGGTCTACAGGGTCTCACTAGTAGTGACCCTCCTGTTTTCAGCCTCCCAAGCCCTGGGATTACAGGTGTGCACCACCAAGCCCACTCTCAATCACCCAGTCTCAATTGCTGGCTCAGCATGCCCCTGGGGGGGGCAGCATGGCAAACTGGGGATCGAACCCCCGCCACTGTGCTCTGCCTAAGCAGGTGCTTTAGTTCGCTGAACTATCTGGCCAGGAGGGCTGTATTTATTGGTTTTGATGAGTACATGAACCTTGTATTAGATGATGCAGAAGAAATTTATTCTAAAATAAAATCAAGAAAACAAGTGGGTTGGATTATTCTGAAAGGAGATAACATTACTCTGCTACAAAGTGTCTCCAACTAGAAATGAGCAATGAATTCAAACAGCAGGGAAGTGAGGCAATGACAATTATGATAATATGTGAAAAAAAAAAGGCAGTCATTTAAGTGGTTAGCCCTGGGAGTGTTTGTAAGACATTTGTTCGTATTGTTTTGACTACCCTTATATTTTTTTTCTACCCTTATGTTTTTACTGAAGGCCAATAAATGTAGTTTTTATTTTAAAAAAATAGTAAATGTACTTGTTTTTTCAATTTCATTTTCAAATTGTTTATTTCCAGCATATAGACATATAATAAACTTTTGTAAACTTCAATTTGGCTAAACTCATTTATTGTTTATTTTGTTTGTTTTGAGACAGGGTCTTGCTGTGTAGTTTAGGCTGGCCTTGATCTCATGGTGATCCTCCTACTTTAGTTTCTTGAGTGCTGGGATTGCAGGCATATACCACCATGCCCAACACATTTATTAGTTTTTGTGTGTGTGTGTGTGTGTGTGTGTGGCATTGGGGATTAAACCCATGGATTTCACAGTACATACCCAGCCAGTTTTCTAATTTTTTATATTGAGACAGGGTCTCACTAAGTTCCTACTTAGGATAGTCTGTATATAAGATTCTGTCATCTGCAATGGATAGTTTTATTTCTTCCTTTATATTCTGGATTGATTGATTGATTTATTTATTTATTTATTTATTTATTTATTTATTGGTGGAACTGGGGATTGAACTCAGGCCATCTCCATTGAGATGGCTCAGCGTCCCAAGCCCTGGGATTACAGGTGTGCACCACCAAGCCCAGTCTCAATCACCCAGTCTCAATTGCTGGCTCAGCGTGGGGGGGGGGGGGGGGCAGCATGGCAAACTGGGGATCGAAACCCTGCCACTGTGCTTCCATTGAGCCATCTCCCTGGCCCCTCTGATTTTATTTTGACACAGGGTCTCACTATGTAGTTCAGGCTGGCTTCAAATTCATGGCAATCCTACTGGTTTAGTCTCCCAAGTTTTTTTTGGTTTTTTGTATTTTAGGGAAGGATCTACAGGTTGTTCAGGGTCTCACTACTAGATTGGACTCCAAGAGCTGGGATTACAGGCATGTGCCACCAGCCTCAATTGCCATCTCAACGTCTCAATTGCCGTCTCTGCGTGACCCCTGGCCCAGGTGGTGGGGCCGCACGGCAGCCCTGGGGATTGAACTCTGCTGCAGGCGCTTTAATTCGCTGAGCTATTTGGCCAGCCATTTAGCCTCCCAAGTCTTGGGAATACAGGTGTCTGCCACACTCTGCTTCTCTTTACATTTTGGATAACTTTTATTTCTTTTTCTTGCTAGGAGCTCTACCATGTTGAATAGAAATGTCATCCATGTGAATTAAGAATGTCATCCTTAAATTAGAGTTTTGCATACCAGGGGGCTTTGCTTTGTTACTGGGGATTGAACCTAGGGCCTCATGCATGCTAGGCAAATGCTCTACCACTGAGGTAAACCATGAGCTCTTTTAATTTTATTTTTAGACAGGTCTTGCTAAATATTCCAGGCTGGCCTTTAATTTTTGATCCTCCTGCCTCAGCCTACATAGTAGCTGATATTATAGGCATGCTATACCACACCCAGTTTAGACTGGCCGGCCTGCCTGTTTGTCTTCCTACCTACCTGCCTGCCTTCCTGTACTGGGAATTGAACCCAGGGTTTTATTTTTTATTTTAATTTTTTTTAAATTTTTATTATTTATGTGTGTGTGTGTGTGTGTGTGTGTGTGTGTGGCCAGCTCAGCCCACCAGGGGGCGGGGCTGGCTGGCATGTGGTGCTGGGGGATTGAACCGCGGTCTCTGTGCTTTGTTTAGCTTAGCTTGTTCTAAGTAGGTGCTTTAGACCACTGAGCCATCTCACCAGCCCAAACCCAGGGTTTTAGACATGCTAAGCAAACACATTACCGGTTAACTACAACTCAGCCCATATTTTATTGGTATTTCCTGTATATCAAGTTACTCAGTGATTTTTTTTTTGAGACAGAGTCTCACTTTGTAGTGCAACTCACTATATAGCCCAAGGTGGCCTGCAACTCACAGTGATCTTTTTCCATCCGCCTCCAGAGCACTGGGATTTACAGGTATGTGGGACAATGCCCAGTTTTATACAATAGAATTAAGCACTCAGTTTCTGAGTCGCAGTAGTCACATCTCAAATCCTGAATGGCCACATGTGGCTGGGAGCTACTAAATTGAACAGAGCAGATACAAAACCTTACTGCAACTGTAGGAAATTGTATTGAACGGCACAAATCTGAATAATTGTATCCCCACATAAGGTGGTGACAGTTGGGATACTTTGCAACCCTGAACGTGAATAAGGAATAAGAATTTTTATTTTGGCTCCGAATGCCTTAAAGGCGAGTTGTGGGGATTGAACCACAGCAACCTGAGCCTGACTGCTTTGTTGAAGCAGCCACTTAAAGAGCTGAGCTAAGGGGCAGACCCCCTAAAGAACTAAGCAAGGGGCAGGCCCCCCCGTGAATTAGGTAATTGATGAGAATTAAGTACAATTATCCATCATTGAGTCTTGTAATCCTTAACCACGGAGGTGAGATAGGGTGCCCAGTGACGATAGGCCTCCTACAGTATATGGAATCGGTCTCATCAGAAAGTCCCTAATACATCATTCATGGCAGTGATGGCACCTGTTGCATTTCTGGATAGCATAAGAGCAATAATGACGTTCAGGCTGGTAGGGTCCTAGGGGTTACATGGAAATGAGGGTAATAGTCACAATTCTGCGTAGAGAGGTTAAGGTATCAAGCCCTCTTCCGTTTGCGCCTCTTTCTAACACCGTGACCTTTTAAATGGTGCTTCCCGAGTAATCCGGGCAGAGGGCTGCAGGAGAAGCAACTAGAATGTGATTAAGTACGGGGTGTCAGGGTGCAAACCCTAATGAGGAAGTGTGAAAAAAGAAACATGGCGGGGCATTTTTTTTTTTTCTTCAGTAGGAAAGGGCTAGATCTACTACATTGAATACAATGACATTGTTATGCTTGTTTCTTGCACAGGCGCAGTGCAGGGATTCTCAGAACACGCCTACGCGCGCGTTTTCTACTCTTTTCTCTTTCACATTCCTCGCTTTTTCTCCTTTCCTGTGCCCCTCCTACCACCCGGTCGCTTAGTCTTTCCGCTAGCCGTTTCGGCTTCTCCTTCCCAAGCCCTCCCCCCACCCCCTTTTCCGCCCTCTGCGCACCGCCGTTTGTGCATGCGCACTAGGTACAAAGCCTCGCTCTTTGTCCCCCATCTGTCGTTCACACGAACTCAAGTCTTTGGCATTCGGGAGCCAATAAAATCTAAGGAATGGCGGAAAAACGAGTCCGCCACCTTGATTGGCAGTTCGCAGAACGAATCGGGAACACCACCTCGTACCCCTGGGGAGGCGCCGAGCTCCGTCGTCTCGTTTCCGGCGGTCGCGCGCTCTTTTCTCGGGACGGTGGAGCCTGGGTAGCGTCGCCGTTACTCTGCGGAGAGGACTGTTGGTATTGGGTGAGTTTTGGGACGGCTGGGTCCTTGGTCGGGGGAAAGTGAGATTTGGTGTGCGATGCATGCAGGGAGAGGCCAGGGCGAGGCTGGATCTGGAGAGAGGATGGCGGTTCCGAGGCCCCTTGAGGCCTTGTCCCCGCCGCCACACTGCCTGCTCAGCCCACCCGCGGGGCCCTGTGCGCTCCAGTCTCCTTCTCTCCGGTTAACCCGTGGCGTGCACGGCTTCCCGCCCCGATTCTTCGTGGGGCCGTTTGCGAATTTTTAGCCGCGTTCGTTGTGAGTTCCCGGCGCCCGATCGCCCCTGGGCCGGAGGGTGTGGGGTCTATTATGCTGGAGCCCTGGAGTCGTGGTTGGAGGAGGAGGAGGCGCTTTGTCGGACGCTCCTCCTCTCGGCCCGCGAGGCCATTAATTTCGAATGGGCTAGTGGGGTTCCTCCAGCGATGTTTCTTTGTCAAAACTCTTGGCTGGCAAGTTACTTTGCTGGTCCAGACCCCACAGCTTTCACCGTTAGGTTTTTGTATACCCATTTTTTGGCCTTGCTGCCTGCCTTTTTTGATCCGTTAACGTCATTACTTTTTGAAATGAAAATTTATAGCATTCCACTCGAGGATTTTACACTTTGAGGACATTTTACTGTACGCTGACACCTTTCTTTGTGTTTTTAACAGCGAAGTCGAAGTTAGGACTGGAGGCACTTTGCTGTCTTCAATCAAGTTGAGGTAGGTATGGGGGGTAGCCCTCGCCAGATAAAGTACAGGGTGCTTAGCTGCATAAGAATTCCATATACAGGGCAAAGTATTTTTATAGCACATGTTGCATGATACTCAGATTAATCCTTTTTTTCACCTGAAAATGTAACTCTTTTGTTTCTAACTAGCAACTGTACTAGGGAGATTTATTTTGTAAGTTTGTCCAACTTCCCTGGGAAGTCCTGAGGAACTTTAGGAAAAAACCTTGCTGTTTCTGTGTATTTTCCAGCTTTCAGGATGGACATGTGGGCTGCCATCTCAGCCTGGTAAATGTACACCAGATTTGTCCAGAAATTTACACTTTATAATTTGGCTCTTCTGAAAATTTAGGGAACTTTTTAGATTTCAGATAAGTGTAATTACTGTTTGGTTTTCTTCCTAAACTTTTATACAGTTCTGTCATACCCAATATCACAGTTTTAAGCCATTGTACTTATTTTTTCTGAGTCCTTCATCAGGTTAGTTTTAAGGACAGCTAAGTAGGAATCCTCATTGCTTACCTTTTTGTGCTTTGTTCTCTTTTCAGAGGCCCATTAACTAGGGGGCAGTGAATTTATTACTCAGAAGAGATTTCTGCACATATTTCCAAATCATATTAGTGGTCATCACCAGAAGGTGATCAGAAGAAATACTTGAGTACTTAGTACTTTGGGGGCACTGTACATAGTACTTTGTACAATAACTGCAGCCCATGAAGCCTGCTTTGGAGAGGAATATATGGAAAGGGAAAATTGTAAAGAACATTTGGGACGGTTAAGAACACAAACTAGCAGAGCTTGGTGGTGCACACGTATAATCAGTGCTCAGGAGGCAAAGGCAGGAGGATTGTCCTGAGTTCTAGGCCAGCCTGCCCTACATAGGGAGGCCCTCCCCACCAAAAAAAAAGAGACAATTTTTTATTAAAACATCTTTGTTTCAATCTACCAGAGTGGAAGAAAGGTCTGTACAGTAATGATGGCACCCGCTGAACTGGAGCACCCATCTGGTCATTGCTCATAAATGTTCTGTTGAGTACTCATTTAGGCCTTAAGGTAACCAGTCCTGTGAAGTAGATTATGGGACAGGTAGATAAACAGGCTGAGATGTTAGATGACATGGTCAACCAGTGCGCTGGAGTTGAAACTGAAATCAGGCTGTAATACAGCGCATTAGGAGTTTCAGCAGACCAGGGTTTTACCCATCACACTTGATGGTATGACCTTGGGTGGGTGTATCTCCCTTCACGAACTCGGTTCTTTCCACAATTCTGGTCTCAAACTGAGTCACAGGCTGGATTGAATTAAATTCAATGGTTAGGTTCAACGTTGACCTTATGGAGAAATTTGATCAGTTGGTGGTGAGAATCATGGAAAGAATTGAGGTTTGTGAACCGAGTACCACTGTGTATCTCTAAGGCATTGGGTTCCTGAACTAGAATAATAGTGCAGCACTAAATGAGACATTGCGGGCTTATACATAGTTGCCTGGTTTTTTTTTTTTTTTTTTTTTTTTGGCGGAACCGGGGATTGAACTCAGTCCCTTGCACTTGCCAGAGAAGCGCTTATTCCACTGAGCCATCTCCCCGGCCCCAGTTGCCTGGCTTTTAGTGGTCCATAAATAACAGTATCTGGTATAGTATTTATCTTCCAGGCTACAAATTTTTCTTTTTTGTCTTTGAGCTGGGATTTTGCTATGTAGTTTAGGCTGGCCTTGAACTTACTGTGTAGCTAGCCCAGGCTGGGCTCCTTGTTGATGATAACTCCTGCCTCAACCTCCTAAGTGTTGGTATTAAACCCTGGCTCAGGACAAACTGAAACCAAAAAACGACCTCCATTGAAATCATCTTAGTGGGCTGGGAGATAGCTCAGCAGCATAAGTGCCTGCTTGGCAAGCACAAAGTTCTGCATTAGATCCCGGATATCAAAAAAAATTCTTAACTGGTTTGGAAACATTTTGATATTTTGTGCTTAGCAATTTGTCCTTTAGGAAGTAGACGTTTCTACTGGAAGTTGTGATAAATTGTAAATAGAACGCTTAGAATATTTTTAAGTTTTGCATGGATCCCTATATAAAGGTTTCTGTTAACATAAATATATGTTGTGGCTCGGTTGTAATATTAGCTATTCAAACTGGGGCCACTGACGCTTAAGTTAAAGGCTGGAAGAAGATGGAAAGTTCCTTGAATTCTAACCTGAGGTAAGAAGGTAAGGAGTGGGAGAAATGGCTTGTGAATAAACTAAAAAGTTTCTGCTATTGGCCACTTTAGGGTCAGGGGAAGGGAGGTTTTTAGTACCTGGAACTCAAGATTTGATTCTGATGGCTCCCTTACCTCATCCCCAGTTATTTCTAGGGTAGATTTAGGGTTTGTGTTTTAATTTCCTACTTTTATGTCCTTTTTTTTTTTTCCTGTATTTTAGGGAAGAGTCTACAGTGTTCAGGGTCTTAGATTGGACTTCAGTGATCTATCCTCCCGTTTATAGCCTCCCAAGAGCTGGGATTATAGGCGTGCCGCCGCCACACCCAGTCTCAGTCACCATCTTGGTGGGCCCCCTGGGTGGGGCTGGCAGGGCAGGCCTGGACCTCTTTTTCATCTTTAAAAGCCCTAAATTCAGCTGGGCGTGGTGGCACACACTCCTCTCTTCCTAAATGCTAGAAGGCTAATGATGTAAGCTTAGCTTTTAGAATGCTGGCCTGTACAATGCCCTAGGTTTAGTCCCCAGCACCACCAAAACAAGGGAGTCATGTTTTGGTTTTGCTTTTTTTTTTTTTTCATGGTGGAAATTACTTTGTTTTATTTGTATAAAATTTCTTCGAACTTGGTTTTGGTTTTGTGTAAGGTTTTATTTTGTTTTTTCGTGCTGCAAATTGAAACCAGGGATTCTGCAGTGAGCCAGTCTCAAACCTTTTTGAAAAGTTTGAGGTAGGGTCATGCCAACTTTCTTAAAATGCCCAGATAATGAGGCTGGGGAGATGCCTCAGTGGAATAAGTGCTTCCCTGGGAAGTGCAAGGGCCTGAGTTCAATCCCCGGTTCTGCCAAAAAAAAAAAAGGCCCAGATGGGAGAATGGGGGGCCGGCCACATAGCTCAACGCAGGGACGGGATTCAATCCCCGCATGGCCCTGCCCCCAGGGTGTGCCTGTAATCCCAGTGCTTGGGAGGCTGAAAACAGGAGTCCAATCTGTGTAGTGAGACCCTGTAGACCCTGTCCTAAATACATAAAAAACCAAAATGCTCGGGGCTGGAGAGATGGCTCAGTGGTCTAAAGCACCTACTTAGAACAAGCTTAGCAAAAGCATCAGGGACCGCGGTTCAATCCCCCAGCACC